GTAATCAAATGGTTTTCTCGTGAAATTAGGAAATAATTTCACTTGCGTTTTGTCAAAATTCTGATAATTTCCCGAGCCTAAAAAGGCTCGGGAAATTATCAGAATTTTGACAAAACGCAAGTGAAATTATTTCCTAATTTCACGAGAAAACCGTTTGATTACACATTCAAATACACCGAAGTCAGGAGCAAATGATTATCGAAGGTAATCCTACAATACCCGAGCAGTTTGACAATCAAAATAAAATACCAGTTTAGTTGTCAAGCAATTGTCAGTACAGAAATGTAAATGTAAATGTACGGAAGACTACCATTGTCTCCCATCCTCAGTTTAGAATGACACGTGAAAGAGAACCCTCCAGAAGTTGTTACAAAATGGTTACCAGACTTTGTAATGGCAAAAAAAAAAAACAAAACAAAACAAAACCAAAAAACAAAAATGTCGGTGAAATTATACATAAAGAAATTGATGTCACGAAATCCTCCAAGCTGAAGGCTATATTGTGTGGATACGATCGTTGTCATTTCTTAGAGCTATGTAGAAGTTCAAAATTCATAATTTTCTCAAAGAAGTATTTCATTAGACCAAGTTTAAGCTTGTGCATTTTTCGAACAAGGACTCCAAAGCATAAAAACTTGCCTTTGTTTTGTATGATAACTGAAGGTAATATTTTCAGAAAATTAAGGCAGCTCCAAATGAAAACGTATCATTTTTTGAGCAGAATCATATCATTGAGTGGAGATGTGGAGTCAAATCCTGGTCCTGCAAATGAGTATTGCAAATCAGTACCTTTTATATCACCCACAAATTCTGTCTGTTTATTAGAATTCAGATTGTCTCAGTTAGGCAGAACTGCACTTGATGTTGGAGGAGGTGGTGATTGCTTTTTTAGGGCTGTATCACATCGACTCTATGTAAATCCTAATAGTCATTTCTATGTGCGCAGTGTTGGCATTCATATTGAGTGAATCACCCTGAACAATTTATAGAGAGTAAAACTGAGCATTCTTGGCTAGGTTATTTGGAAAGAATGTCATGTCAAGTAAAATGGGCCGATGCTATCATAATTAAAGCTGTTTCCAATTGTCTTTATTTATCAATTCATATTGCTGAATCAAATCCAACTTTTTCTCCAGTTACTTTTGTTGAACCAGTGAATGTTACAAATGCCCTAAACATTTACATTGAACACCTAGATGAATTTCATTATGTTTCCATAGTAGAAAACAGAACAATGGAGATAAGAGACAACAGGAAACAAACAAAATATGCAGAAGAAAACAAACCAGTTGATGACAATGAAAAACGTAAAGCTTGCAGAAGAAAATACATGAGAGAATACATGAAAGCTGATGATAACTTTGGAATAAATGAGAATCAAACACAAGTACAAGGCTGTAACATTAATAGCAAAACATCTAGGAACAAAAAAACACCAGGCTGCTAAAAGAAGAAAATTGAACCCAGAACATGTCAGAGAAATTGAGCAGCGCTCCTTCAGAAAACGAAAAGCAGAGAACCCACAGCACATAAGGCAAATAACCAAACAATCGGTAGGAAAAAGACAAAAGGCTGAGGCTCTAGCAAATGTATCGCAATTAACATGCAGCAGTCACGAGTTGCAGCCACAAGATAACAAATACGATGCAATTTCCATGACAAATTTGTTTCACTAAAACATTGCATGTGGCACAGAATATGTATGCACTTGTTGTGACCAATAATGTGGTCCAAGTGCTCTGTACTGAAATATGCTCCAAACAAATATACGGCATGTTCACTAGACATTGCTGAGTCCTGTCTTACTGGTTTTAAAAGTGTCGATGACACTGAATGGATCTGCATCACATCCAATAAAAAAAGTCTAAAAAAGCGATTGTCTAACTTGCAATAAAAAAGGTCTAAAACAAGGCAGGTTATCCAGCTGTTCTAAAGCCAATAGGATGGGTTTTCCTTATAAGCCTAATGTATTGAATTTCACATCGCTAGAAGAGCGCCTAATATCACCTCGTATACCTTTCATGCCTATCCGTGAACTACTTAGGGGTGGTCAATTGTCTATTCATGGAAACATTGTCAATGTGCCAAGTGATGTAAATTCAACTGTTCATTGTCTCCCAAGGCCAATAAGTGAATCACAAACCATTCCAATAAAACTTAAAAGGCGACTTGGTTACAAGCGTCATTATCAGTTTCAGAATGTCAGACCTAAGAAAGTATTAGATGCAGCCAAATATCTTGTAGACACTAGTGAATTATTTAAAACTGAAGGCATAAAAGTGCAACATTCATGGTAGATAGCATAACTTCACAATCACGAAACCATGAAGAGTGGGGTGAGTTTGTTCAAAACCCTAACACATCCATTGCTGATGTGCAAACTAATGAAATTGTGACAAATTGTCAAAACAATATTTGCACTGCTGATGTTCATAATCCAGACAGACACTGAAGGATTATGTTTCCTGCCAAAATGTTATATGTATTAGATGAAGACCTTATTTCTATAAGCATGCTCAACTTATGGCTGCTTATTAACATGATGCACTTTTCAACTAAAACACCTTACAAATGGAACACTTCTTACACTAGTTCCAGAAGAGGCAAAGTACAGCACTTCATAGAATAATTACCACATACCATGAGGTAGCTTGAAGGAGCCTTTGATTTGTTTCTATACTCCTTTAACGAAGGGTTTACACACTCCTGATTATGGTTAAAAACGAACATGAGTGTATTTCATTTTTTGTCTTCCAAGTCAAACACCCACGATTTTCCTGTATTAAATTTTCTGCAGCACTCGAAACGTACGGACGCACCCGGCAATTTCAGGAATTTAAATGAAGATAGAATCAGGAGTGTAGTCAATAAATTTATTAGTGAAAGGGGGAGAGTGAGACAGTTTTGCGTGCGCGCGCCGACCTGTCCGGAAAACAGGTTTTCTACTGTACAAATAACTGTGCAATTTAACAAATTGACGTCAGTTTTTTTATGCGTCTGTCCTCTTATTGATGATAAATTGCGTCATAACATTGTCAAAGTGACTGGCTCCGCAGTAAACTTTGACAATGTTATGACGAAATTTATCATCAATAAGAGGACACACGCATAAAAAACTGACGTCAATTTGTTTTTTACAAAAACAAGACCCCAAAATGGCCAAATGCCGGGATAAATGAAGGGAAAAGACGCTGTAAACTTGCCGTAAACAAAGATAACTGAATTTTATTCAAAATGACGCGAACATTGTCAATACCTTTTCTCGCTTTTTGTTCGACTACTTAAAAAAGTCCATAAAATATCATTAGTTAAAAAGTTCACAGTTTGACAGCTGAAAGTTTAACTTGAAAGCTTGCATATTAAAATTTTATCCGTCTATACTCCTATTGATGATAAAAATGAGCCAATCAGCGCCCGGGAAATTAGACAGTTATTGTAAAAAATCGCTGTATATTTGTACTGTTATTTGGGCGGTATTCGCTGCAGCTGGGATAATAATGCTATGTAAATACAGTTCGCATTGGTCTCAGTGAATTGGTATTTTACGAAAGTATGGTAGTTAGATTTGACGTAACGTAGACCGAATCTGTATTTGATTTGCTAATGTTAAAAAAGACGTGTCACGATCTGTGTTACGCGACATTAAGAACTATCACGCATCACGCAGATCAATGGTGAAACATTGCAAAGCACGTGCCTCTGGGAGTAAAAACCTACAAGCTTGTTTCGTCTATGACACGGATGTTTGGCTCCAGCGTGACAGGAGCAGCCGGGAGGTCAAATCCCTGCCTTTTTCCCGAGGGAAGAAAACCGTGTTTCCAGGATGGCGTGACATTGGGTGACAAACGATTAGTTGCCTCAGTAAAGGGCCACAGCGTTGGATTGTAAGAATGTTTGCCATTCAGTGATGACGCCACACTTTTGACGGACAAAGGGCGCTGGGACCATTGCTGTCGAATGTCGCGCAAGCTTAGCATTTGGTAATACTTGTTGACTGCATAGCCTGCTTGTTGGTCACGCTCCCTTTCCAGCCGCATCACGTGACATCTGTCTTGACGGTGCCGTTTTGATAGAGCTTCTACCTTTGTCTTGATGTTGACGAGGAAACTGTCGACAAGTGGAGACATCTCGTTCTTAAGATCTTTACTTTGCTTTAAAACTGCAAGAAACAA